TTTTAGGGGTAGGGCTTATATTACAAGCATCCTGAAAAATCACACTAGTGCTTATTTTCAGGGAAGCAGAGTGTATATACCAAGTTAAATATATATAGATACCAAATTAAATATATATATTTAACTTGGTTGCCTCAAATAACAATCTCAGCCTTTTTTTTGAGAATGTGTCTCTCTCCTAGTTAGATAGCCATGTTGCAACACACAATTCATCCAGTTATGGAGACAAACAACTGTGGGAAACCTTGGGTAATCAGATATAAGGATTAGTATGTCTGGAACTGGGCTACTTAGTGAGTCACTTGGAAGAGACCTTAAAAACAAGTACCAGAGTATAAACAATGGTTAGGGAATCTCTGGCCACACAGTCCCTTACCACTGACCACACTGGGTGGAACTATTGACATTTGAAGACCAAAACATTTGACAGGCCAAAGATCCCTCAATCCTGACACAAAACTACAATGAAAGGCATCACTTACTGGTCTGGAAGCTTTATGGCAGAGAGTAAATATGATTCTTGCACAGCAGATCTCCCTGGCTCAAAACCTCACCACATTTTGTCAGTTATGCAATGAAGATCCTCAGTATGTATTGTTGCATTGAAAATGTTTATTTCTGATTCTCTGTTGGCACAGCAGTGAGACTTACAAAACAGTTTTCAGAGAGGATTTCCATTCTATTCTGCTTAAAGCAATTTTCTTATTTTAACATATTTTGTGCTGATCCTCCCACTGCTTCTTGAAACCACTCAGCTGATCTTATGCTGGATTGCCTGGATCCAGCCATATGATATTTTATAAGGTGGCTGCCTAGAGGACTGGAAGATAGTTAAAGTTTTCAATTCGTCCTCAAGTGTTGACTCTCTCCTTCTGTCATCTTAAAGACTGGAGAAATATCCATGGAAACAACTTTCAAAACAGCTCGCTAGAAATCCTTAAGCCAAGTCCAGAGCATGAACAGTTACTTTTAAAAACGAGTTACGGTAGTTATAAGTGACAACCTAAGGCCTATGAAGTAGCTAGATACTGTTGTAGATATAGTTTTGAAAGCAATTTTATTTCCTCATTTCTCAAAATTAATGAATACAGGTATATTAAGATAGTTTTTAGAAAAACGCCTGAATGCTAATAGCTACTAACCTGCAGTAAAAACCACAGTGCTTCTCCCTGTCATCTTGTTGTCACCTCCACAGAGCAGAAAGCATCAGGAAGAAGCACAGCATGAACTCTGAAATATTCCTCTTCTACCATACACCGAGGCCACACCCTCATAAATGTGAAGATAAATGGAATCATAGCTACACCACAGGAGTAAAGTTATTCCTTGTTAAGGGACAACTGCACTGTAAAAAAGAGACTCAATTAAATATAAGTACTGTAGTTATAAACTATTAGCTACTTAGAAAAATTAATTGTTCCCAAGTTCTGGGTAAGCCACTATTTGTCTCCCTTAGTCCCTTATTTCAGTCTGTCTGCAAAGTGAGGTAAATTATTTTACAATCAAGACTGTTTTGTTGCAGGAAGATAATACTGGACAGTATACCTGAAATGCCTTGAATACTATTTGAAGAAAGTGAGCCTCAGACTTGCCTGGGGGGAAGGACTAGCTGCCACTAGTTCTACAGCTGCTCTCACAGTCCATCTACGCTTGCAAACAAGGAGGGTAACCGAGGGCATTTTGTGTGGACATTTAGTGTCCACACAGGAGTCTGTGAGGGACAGGAGCTTGAACTCACTAACAAGATAAGACAAAGAGTCACGGAGGGCGAGGGAGAATCTGCAACATCTATGCCATGTTTGTTTTCCTGCCTAAGAATGTAAGAAGCTATACCTGCAGCAAATGTTGAAAGCTTGTTGCCCAGCTGGATGAGAAAGGACAACAGCTTGAGGATTGCCTTGCTACACTTTTGTCTCTTTAGCGAAGATGTAAAGGTTTCTGGATAGAACACAGCAGACCCTTCCCAGAGGGAAAGCAGAGGGAAGATGCTTCTAGGGAGAAGGAAGATTGCAGTTCAATGGCAGAGGACCTATTTTGTTTTCAGTTCTCAGAGGCCTTAATTGTTGTGAGCAATGGTAAAGGATTATGGGTGTTGTAGCCCAAAACACATGGCTGGCCAACATTTTTTTGTTCTAGCTTTTAGTGCTCATTCTATCTATAGTGGTGCCTACTGGTGAGATATTTTGCCAAATAAATCCATTCCCGTCCACTTTCACTCTGACAGATTACTCCTGGTGACAACATGGCCTTCAGAATGGCTGTGTACTTTTATTACTTTACTATTTTCTTATACTATATGCCATTCTTCTGAGGACATCCAGGATGGCATACAATATGATTAAAACATAGTAAAACACATACCACACATACTGATGTAAAAATAGCAAAATAATGCATCACCAGAAAAAAAAAGTGGGGAAAAATTTATAGCAGCCGAAACAGTTCTACTTCACATCCCATTATGAATCCCTGCAAATAATTATATATATCACAGGAGCTCATGAAGGAAGCTCCAAACCACGGAGGTGACAACTTGAAAAGAATCCTTCCTGACTCAGCTATAACTGTTGGCAGCTTTAAAAGGACAATCCCTCACAACAGCAATGGGCACATATGGGAGTCATACGGGTAAAGGCAGTACAGTAGGTATGTGGGTCCCAAGAGATGTATGTTAAAGGTAATAACCAACAGCTTTAATTGAACCAGGAAAAAAGACTGTTGGTAACAGCTGTAGCTGGCACAAAAGAAGTGTCATGTGGTTGTAGTGGAAGCATCCATCAGTAACTTAGCTGCCACATGCTTTATCAGTTGAAGCATCTGAGTTATATTCAAGGGTAGTCCAATGTAGAAAAAAATTGCAACAATCTAATTTCAAGATTACAGAGACATGGGTCAGTGTGGCCACATCAATCCTCTTTAGTAAGGAAAGAGTTGCTGGACCAAGGAGAGGTGATAAAATGTTCCTTGGCTGAGATTCCCACCTGTTTTGAAGGAGGGCTGGGTCTAATAAAAATCTCCTGGTTCACAAGTGGCATCTCTACATCATCAACCTACAGAGAGGTGACAGATGAACTGGTCAACTTTTGAATCCCCAGTATCACCTCCACCTTATCTGGACTCAGCTTCAATTTATTGACCCTCAGTCATTTGTCCATAGGCTCCAGATGATGACTAAGAACTGTTGTGGCTATCAATGGCTGCTTAGTTAATGAAAGCTATAGCTGACTGTCATCAGTATATTGATCACACCCAATTCCAAAGTTCTCCAACTAAGGTCTCATCTATACAGTATTGAATGTATGCATTGCCATTGTTTAGTCTGCTTTAGATTTATAGTGTGCTTTTCTGGGTAAAATCTCCCATAGAGCAGCTTATAGCTTAATGAAAAACACAGAATACTTTAAAGCCTTAAATGGAACATTCAGCACATCAATAGTAAAGTAATATTTGCAAAAGCAATGAAAAATGTAGTCAAAAGCACAATACAATAAAATTCATCAGAGGACCATTATATATTCTTACTGATGAAAGATTTTTCACAGACTAAACACAGACTATTTCAGCCTCCAGCTATCTACATTTCTGAGAAAAGACTGCTGTTTGAGTGTAGTTGGTTTACATAAAAGCCTCTTGTGAAAGTCTTCAAGGTTATGGAGTACAACCGCTAGCTTGCTCTCCTGTACTAAGGGCCATTTGAAACAAATCAATCAATATATTCTTACTGATGAAAGATTTTTCACAGACTAAACACAGACTATTTCAGCCTCCAGCTATCTACATTTCTGAGAAAAGACTGCTGTTTGAGTGTAGTTGGTTTACATAAAAGCCTCTTGTGAAAGTCTTCAAGGTTATGGAGTACAACCGCTAGCTTGCTCTCCTGTACTAAGGGCCATTTGAAACAAATCAATCAATGTTATTTACCTACAGCCCTTCAAGCAAAAGATCCAACTTCAAGGGGGTTATCTCCAAACTAGCCCCCTTGCACTATAATTGCACTATAATTACTTAATAATGAACTTAAAGACCACTAGCAATGAACAGTTAGACAGTGTTACTTATCCTGCAGTGCAGATGTTTGTGTTCTTGTGAGGGTTCGTTATCAAGGGGGGCAGTCATTTTCAACAAAGACCGAGACGTGGTGAACTTTCCAACGGGGTCCTCATTTATTTCAACGGCAACATCAACTGGAATATTATTGGTAACAACTTGCAAAGTCTCTTGCTCTCCCAAACCCGGGTGCAAGGGCGTCCATAAGCTTCCAACAAAAGGATTACTGTCCTCCACAGTCCATGGTCCAGTTAAACCTTTCACTGGGACCTGGGCTTCCAGCAATAGGCCCTCTCTGAAGGCCACATCTCTTACAACAACAGGGCTGGAGAACCTCAAACCTGCCACTGTTTTGGACTTTCACTTCCAGGAAGTTCCAGAACACATGGCCAATATAACAAAAACAGCTGAAAACAATTTTTTGGGGGGGTCCCAAATTTCTCTTGCCCTATGTATTCCAGAATGAGCCAACTGATGTACGTAGTACATGTCGAGCAAGCTAAAAATAAAACTTTTTTAAAAACATCAAACAACAGTGGAGAACCACCCAACCAGAGTCAGTTCTGGCTGTCCCCTGGGCACAGATTTGGCTTAAAGCCTTCTCTTCCCGTCAGAAGGCATTCTCTAAGAAAGGGCCGCCAGAGGGTTAATGTTCCCCGACGGCCAAGCCAGACCAGTAAACATGTTGTCCAGAAAAGGCAGGAACTATTACCCGCGTTTGAACACGAGGTCGTAACTAAGAGTGCCTAAATATTAACCGGGGGGGGGTATTCAGAGTTTAGGAGGTCGCCCCGCCTTCGTCCCTCTCCCTCGCCCAATTAAAACGAAACCCTGCAGCTTTCTCCGGCCAATACCGACCGGGTTTTGTTTTTGGCTCTGCGCTTCAGCCAATCAGAGGAAAAGCAGCCAGTCGCTAAAGAGGGTGGGGGTAACAAGAGTCCCTTTCTCATTAAGAACGACGGCAGGCTTCTTCTGACGAGGCCTCTCCATGCCAGGAATGGGAATGGTGGCAACCGCTTGTGATGATTGCAAAAGCCACAGGAGGGGCGTGATCTTTTTCTAGCAACCAATCAGGGAGCTCTGTTCCTTTGAGGCGTCATAATCCTCGGAACCTGCCGCCGCCGCGACAACAATAACAATAACATTCGAACGCCTCCTTCCTTCCTCGGGAGGCGATCCGCCGGGGTGTGGACGTGGTCGGGGGTCCGCGCTAGCGTCATCCGCCAGCTGCTCCTGTCAGCCGCCTTGGAGGAGAAGCGAAGCAGGGACGACACGAGCCGAGCCACTCCGGTGGGGTTCCAAAATAGAAACGCTTCTTTTTCCCCGGAAGCGATGTCATCCAACGAGGCACCGGGCGTGCAAGAAGAGAATCTGCAGGGTAAGAGATGTTTCCCTCTCTCTCCTCCCCCCCCTTTAAAAAGCAGTTTTACTTTTAAGGATCAGGAGTGGTGCTTTTCACTGTCCGGTCCAGTCTCGGTGCTGGGGAAGGCTCCCTGGGCTTTCCGGACTGGGGATCGTTTCTTGTCCCGACCCTCTGAAATCTTTTAACTGATCAAATTCTGCTGTTCTTTTGTTTTTCCAATGGCGTTTAGAATGCGGACATTCTAGGGGAAATGGCAGTGGTGTTAAGGGGGTGTCAGATTCCGCGATATTAAATGTTTGCCCTTGGTAGGCAAGTATTACAGGCCCTTTTGATGACTAGTTAAAGTTTCAGTAACCTGGATTAATTTTTTTTAAAAAAAATTGGAGGGCTGGTGGGATGCCCTCCCAGTGCAAACACGTAAGCCTGGCTTCAAAATGAGCTGCGTTGTTCCTCATATTCAAAGTCCAGAATAACGAGATCTGGTGATGGTGCCACCGTTATACTAATAGTCACTTCAGTTTACTGTGTGTACTGGTTTTACTTTTGTCTCCGTGACTCATCAGCCCTCCTCTGAGTACTTTAGGCAGGTTTTATGGCTGTAAATAATTGCCCTTTGGGCATTATTGACACATGGTGCTTGTTGAGAGCTGACGTCATTGGATTTCTTACCCTTATATGCTGAAAAACTTGGAGGTAGATTGCAGCCTAAGAGGAAGTTTTCCTGTTAGGTAAAGATTGTAGCAGCATTGTAACCAGGTAAACAAGGAGTATTGTTAACATGATAGTTTGGATTGTCTTATGTTTTCCCCAAATATTGTGTAAATTGCAAAGTGATTATGCAGGACTTCATTTAAAATGGATTGTCATTGTTACATAAAGAACTATAACTTTTTATTGCATATAAAGCAAACTGTCTCTACAAGCTGGTAATCCAGTCAAGCAATAGCTCTGGCTAAATTAAACATTGACATTACAACCCTATAATCACTTACCAAAGGTGAAGTCCTATGGCACTTTGCATGACTTACTTCTGAGTAGACATAAATAGGATTGGGCACATCTTAATTAACATGCTCTTGATAAACATTAGGGCTGCTCTGCCCAAACTGATTTAGGGTGGTGGTGGTTTGTTGTGTAGATATAGAAAGTATCCCTTGTGATTGTGCATTATCATTCATATATTTGTGCTTGGGCTGGTGTTGCACCCACCCAGCAGTACAACAGCTTGTGCATATTTTTTCAAGAAGGGCTTAAAAGCAAGTGAACTTAATCTGCCTGTTATAGACATGGAGAATGCACAAAATGTGAAAGATAAATCTGTACTGCACCAATTGCCAGAATCTAGATGAGTATCGTGTATATTTTGATATATTGGCTTTGTTTGGGAGAAATACAAGTGCAATTCTGTTTTGATTTTAGTTGTAATTTTTACAGCACAGAAGTCTGGAAAAGAAATGTCTTGTAGCTGACATCCTTTGTATATCTCTCTTGCTGTTTCCACACTACTCTTCATCTGGAAAAAATATTATGAATCTGCTTTCCTCTTGTGTTGCACTAAACTGCTTGGAAAAGCTTCACCTATTTATTTGCTTCCTGTCATGTTAGCAGCTGTTAGTTCTCATGCTCTGTGGTGGAGAGGTGTTGATATCTTGTACAACCTCTTGATTTTATAAGAGGGTGTTTCACAACACTTTGTTTGTTTTTCAAAGTGGCCTAGAGGATTTTGTTTTAAAGTCAGGACAGATTATGTACGTGTTTTTCTTGTATATAGTATGATACGGCATAGACTAATACAATCTTTACTTTTTCTAAATATAGGCTAGCAGCAAAAGTGTCTGAGGTTAGCATATTGCTTGCTATCAATATAGTATTCTAGTTCTCTCCCTTATCTCTCTCTCTCTCACTCACTCTCTCTCTCTCTCTCACACACACACACTCCTTCACCCACTTCTCCTCTTTTCTTCTATTGCTGAGAAACCTGGGAGTTATAGTCCTCAGAACTAAGCCAAGGAATAGACTTGTAAGTGGAGGCCAAGGAATAGGCCTGTAAAAACACATTGCATGTTGATGAACTTTTAGCCTTCCAGGTGGTGTTGGGTAGCATGTCCCATGAGCCCCAACTAGCATAGTCAGTAGTGAAGCTGTGAGGGATGATGGGAGTTCTATCCTAGCAGCAGCTGGAGAGCCAGTTGGCCACTTCTAATGTAAGTGGATGCCTTGGAACTAGCAAATGGCTAGTGTATTAGATAGAGTGACAGGAGCCTTGGGTTCAAATCCCTGCTTGGCCATGGAAACATATTGGAGGGTGGCACTGGTAAAACCACTGTTTAAATATTTCACATAAATATCTCACTCAGTGGCGATTACACTTATTGCTGTGTGAGTGAGACATACCATGTATGTAGATGTGGTTGACCATGTTGGCTATGGAATTCTGTGAACTGTAATTTTTTTTTAAAAAAAGTTTTCTCTATTTCACTTTGTTGTCTCAATGCACTTCTTTCATTCCACACTTATTTTTCATTTGGGTTTACTTTGCTGTGCCATTCTGTTTCATCTGTTGTCTTGTTTAATTTCAACAATTCCTAAGGTTCGTTTAGGGACTGGACAATGCAGTTTATGACTTTTACAAAACAATATCAATTATTGTTTCATGCAGGCAGTTTGGTATCCTCCAGTGTTTTGGATGGTGAAATGCATACTCCTGTTCTCATTGACTGTTATGACTGAAGCTTATGGGAATTGTAGAATGGAATATCTGGAAGTCAACAAGTTGTATATTTTTGTCTGAAACCGCCCCCCCCCATGTGATAGAGTCGCATCAAAACTCCCTTTTTGCTCAGCGATTTAATCAGTCCATACATATGCAGCTTTATGCTCCAACATGCCCATACTCAAAGAGGAATAAAAACTAGAGCAATCAATGCATATGCTGTTCTCTAATAAAGTCAAGAAGTAAAAAAAGGCAGTACGATGCTGACTTGTTAACACATTAGTGCCCGTCTGGAAGCCAGGTCATTCAGAAGGACAAAACCGAGGGGGGAAATGCAAATACAGTGACCTTACACCTGGGGGCATGACTTAGAAAAGTAAGGCTGTAGGAAAGATATTGTGGCACAGTGGTTAAACTGCTGTAGTACTGCAGCCAAAACTGTGCTCATGACTTGGGGTTCAATCCCAGGTAGCAAGTTCAAGATTGACTCAGCCTTCTACCTTTCAGAGGTTAGTAAATGGCTTGTCATTGTTAGATTTTTTGGGGGGTGGGGGTGGCAAAGTGTAGGCTGCATAATTAACTTGTGAACTGCCCACAGAGTGCTTTAAGCAGCACCCTTTTATTTTATTTTATTTTTTGTTACGTAAATTGCCATATCAATTTCCTGCAGCTTCTGTACCTAGAAGGGTTTTCCCTGTTGAAACTGGGTGGTAAACATGGCTGAGGTGTTGGTACTGAATGTTATGGATCTTGTTCTATTTGGCTCATGTTGGCTCCATTCAGTATATTTTCATGGGACAGAAATGGCACCAAAGACATGCTGTTTATATATTGCTAATTCAAAAAGGTTCACGTTATTGGTGTAGTGGTTAAACTGCTGTACTGCAGCCAAAACTGTGCTCACGACCTGGGGTTCAATCCCAGGTCGCTCAAGGTTGACTCAGCCTTCTATCCTTCCGAGGTCGGTAAAATGAGTACCCAGCTTGCTGGGGGGCGGCGGCAATGTGTAGCCTGCATAATTAACTTGTAAACTGCCCAGAGAGTGCTTGAAGCACTATGGGGCGGTATATAAGCAGCACGCTTTGCTTTGCTTTATATTTCTCACTGTTACCAGGCAATAAAGCTGAGGGATCTGTTTGCTCACTTCCTGGAATACAGCAAAGAAACCGGCTTGAAGCGGAGTGTCAGCAAAGGAAAATACGATAACAAAGAGTCATGTGGCATCTTTCAGATTAACAGGTTTCTTGCAGTATGAGCCTTTGCTAACAGGCAGAACACTTCCTCATATGGCACGGGCTGTGTGTCCACAAAAGCTGATTCTGTAATAAATTTGATCGTTATGAATGTGCCACAAGACTCTTGTCATTTTGCTGCAACAGGCCAACACAGCTACTCTGTGGAAACGAAAATATTGCCATTTCTGAATCTGTGATTGTGTGCTCTTTTTGTTGTTGTTCCTCTATGCGCCAACTAGGTTCCTGGGTGGAACTCCACTTTAGCAGCAATGGGAATGGTAACGCTGCCCAACCTGCAAGCCAGGAACAGGTGCCGGCTTCTGTTTCGATTTACAACGGTGATATGGAGAAAATTCTTCTAGATGCACAGCACGAATCTGGGAGAAGCAGTTCACGAGAGAGCTCGCACTGTGACAGGTAGCACAAAATATATATCACTGCTAGTTTTAGAAGGTTTTCCCATCATTTTGACAGTATTTGCCAAGCCTGACTAATGGGGAAGATGATGCAATTGGCCCTGTGACAGTCTGTGCCCTTTCCCTTCTTTAGAGCCAATGTCAGCTTGTCCTCAGATTCTCACTCTTGGCCTGTTTGTACCTCACTCGAGCCTTTTATTTAAACTGGTTTGTAATTCTCTGTGGACAGAGCAGTCCTGCCATATGCCACAGAGGACTCTGAGATTGTCTTGTGATTTGAAGCATACAGACCCACAAGCACCTCTCTTCTTCTCTGGCAGTGAAAATGCAACAATAATAAATTCACAGCTGACAGATCATGACTTTCCATTTTACCCCAAAGTGTGCCTCACTCTGCCTAAGGAGAAGGCCAGCCCTGGATGTGAGGATTTGAACCTGGTTTTCCAGGGTCTTGATGAAGCACAAATCCCCCAGTTTTGTTCCTTGGTGCTTAATGGCCTGCATTTTTCTTTTAACAGTCCTCCACGTTCCCAAACACCTCAAGACATTCACAGAATTTCTGAAGTAGAGAGCCGTGGCAGTGGAGAAAAGAATAGCTCTCAGGTAAAGATCAGATTTCTATAAAGATTGTCAATTTTTCCCCCAGACTAAGCTTATCCTGCAGTTTTTCTGCCTCTTTCAAGAATTTTAGGGGAGGTCCAGATGTTGCCATCTTTTGCTGGTAACCCTCCTGTCTTTTCCCATTATTCCATTCATCTCTGTTTTAAAGGATGATTAATTTTTTTAACATAATCATTAGGTAGGAAAAGATGAAACGGCTGCACAGTGTCTTTGACTTGCTATATTAGGAGTGGCCAGAAGCAGTAACAGATAGAGAGTCATGGAAAGGTCTGGTGCCAAATGACGCAAGGTGCCTTCCCTCAGGGAAACACTTTCCTTTTGTTAGTACTCAGTACTTGCCGAGGAATATATTCTGGCAGGAAAGTGCAGTCATTTCCTTAACTGGTAGGACCCTTTCACTTTGGAGTACTGAACAGAATGCCACAGACAGGTATTTGGCAACAGGTAGGCTTCAAGTATGTAAACCAAGCTCTAAAATCTACATTGGATCATACGTGGAAACAAACTGGTAACTGTAGTGCTGGTTACTCATTGTTTTCAATTTTAAATATTGTATTTCATTGTTGTAACCTGCCTTGGGTCCTTTTCAAGGCGAAGGATGGGGTAAAATATTTTAAATACCATATTTTTCTGTGTATAAGACTATACTTTTGTCTAAAATCTTTAGACTGAAAATTGAGGGTTGTCATACACAGAAGTAAGCTGAGGAGAGAACAAAAACAAGTGGAAGGGAAAGCAGGGATCAAACCGATCCTGGAGCGCTTTGATCCTTTTCCCCCTACACTTGCTAAGCCCCACTTAGATTTCTTAATTTTGGATTAGAAAAGTGGGGGGTGTCTTATACACAGAAAATACGGTAAATATTTCACCTACTTATTTACTGCCCATTTGGCAGCCAAAGCCATTCTGGGTGGTTTACAGCAAGTAACATCAATATATAGGGCCACAAATCAAAAGTCATAAAGTGCAGTGAGGATAAATTTACAATACAATAAATACAATTAAAAGTGTAGAAAAATATGAAAACATGGAGCATGGCAGTATGATAGGAGTTATATTATTGGGCACTACGGTATCAGAGACTTGTTTGTTCAGGGAAGGCCTGCCTAAATAGCCAGGTTTTTAGTAGCTTTTGGAATGTGCCCAGAGAAGGAGCCAGGTGGACTTCGGGCAGAAGAGAGTTCCATAATTATGGTGCTACCGCGGAGAAGACCCGATTTCTAGTGGTTGTTTTCCGGGCCTCTCTTGAGGTCAGAGAGATAAAATAAAATAAAATGAATAAAAGCTTGAATAACCGAAGAACAGGCCATGTGAAGGACAAGCTTCCCTTCTGCATGCACCTGCCACTCTCTGTGACTATAATCTGTAGCCATGGATACAGTGGAAATGTAGATCAGTTGTGGCTTCTGGTTGCCAAATTGTGGCAGTGGTGTGTCCTTGCTTATGGTATCGCGAAGTCCATTTTACAGACATTTTGGCATGCTATGAAGACCTTATTGTATTGTCATGCTGTTCCCTGTTGACTAGATATATGTGTTTGATATATATCTGGCTTTGGGAAGGTACCAATATAGGGCCAAAAGTCAGGAGAGGATAACTTTATTCATTCTTCTTCCTCTATCCCCTTGTCATTTTGTCATTTTTAATTGATTTAATTTAAAAAAATATTGTGAGGCTCAATACTTTCTTGCTCGCTTTTAGGACTCAGATTACTGTAATGCCACCTGATGGTAGTTTGGAGTTAATAATATAGTCCAAGGTGGACAGTTCTTTTGAATCATCCAGATGAGACCTATTACTTTCCTGTGGGGAGAAGAACAATCTCCTGGAAACATGTGATTTCAAAGAACAACAACAAGCCAGAAGCATAAATAAAAGCTTCAGTCTTCAAGCCTCAATCATTTTGAGGCTATTCCTAGTTTTACAAACTGCTTAACAACACAATTCTGTAAAAATCAGAGGGGTTCATCTTAGATAAGTGGGTATATGCAGCTTGTCCCTGATTCATTGATTGGGCTTGGTTCACCTTGCCTATTTTTAAAACACCTGAACAAGGCCAGAGGATTGTGCTGATTTGTGATAGAACTTACTGCAGTGTCAGTACTGGTTGTGTGTGTTTTTTTTTGCTCAGCAGTCCACCTCAGAGCATAAACACTGTTGGGCAGCCTCTTTTACTGTGTCTGAAAAGTGTGGTCCATGTATAAAATAAAAGTCACTGTCACAGTCCGGGAGTTCAGCACTTCAAGTGAGGCTGGAGCATTCTAGACGTAAGACCTCTGAACTCCTTACAAACTTAATATTGCTTCTGTGAAGGTGCAGGATTCATAGATAAATCTGTGGAATCCAGGCCAGAGATGGGCAGCTGATGTTGGACTGCAACTCCCAGTATTCCTCATCACTGGCTGTGCTAGCTAAGGTAGATGGGATTTGTAGTCCAATGGCATTGAGAGCGCCACCAGCCCCAGTCTTGTCCTTGGATCTTTGAGTTGGTAGTCTTTATGCTTGTGCATCATGCTCGGAGTATGTTCTGAATTCCAGTAATAATATCCAAGCCTCCTACGCTTCATTTTAGTCTGAAGAAGATTTTCTAGAAAGAAGGAAGGAAGTGGAACGGCTCTTGAAGAAAAATTCTGATTGGATGTGGGATTGGTCCAGCAGGCCTGAGAACATTCCACCCAAGTGAGTGGCCGTAGGGTGAATAACGCTGATCTATCGATGCCAGTTGGTGCATGTGTAAATGTTGGGTTGTTTCTTGGGGAATGCCGTTCTGCCCCTTTCAGCTGATATGATCATGCTGGCTGAGGTGATTCTGGGAGTAGTAGTAAACAAGAAACAAAAATAAACTTCCAGGCTCTGATACAGGGGAACATTTCACCAGCTCCTCTTCTTTTGTCTTGTTGCAAACTAGGGAATTTCTCTTCAAACACCCAAAGCGCACAGCTACCCTCAGCATGAGAAACACAAGTGTGATGAAAAAAGGTGGCATATTTTCTGCAGAATTTCTGAAGGTTTTCCTGCCATCGCTGCTGCTCTCCCATCTGCTTGCTATTGGGCTTGGGTAAGAATTCGTTCAATTAATCAAATTGGTCCTTTTCTGCTCACCAGTTTACAGAATTGCCAGTGGAAAGCAGCACAGAGGATGCTGTACATCTTGTACCATATTGTCCTCTTGTACGAAAAGAGATTTAGTTACGATAAACCCTGCTCTTAACACTTAACTGTCATCTCTTTTGACAAACTGAAATTTAAATCCAATGTTCCTTCGTCAGCACAAGGACTATGGTGGGAAGAGATGCAAAAGGGTAGGATTTAAAATGCTAGTGTATTTTTAGCTTGATGCTCTTATAGACAATAGCTAAGCCTTAAGCAAGACACACCATTTAGAAAGGGGGAAAACTCACACAGAACCTGGGCGACTATGAAGTGGCAGTGCACTGAGAGAGCATGTGTGGGCCTCTATGGTTTAGTAATTGATTTGGAAGGGCAGATACTCATTATGGCAGGCCTTGTATTTAGCATTCCAGAAGAGTCCAAGAATTTTGCATCAATCCATATCAATGAGCGAGGAGCAGATCTTTTGTAAGCTAATGGCTCTTCAATTTGGTCCCATTCAAGACCAAATCCTTATCTAGTAGTTTGCATTACAACAGAGATGGCTGCAGTTCCTGGAAAAGTCCATTTTTTCTCTTACTTCCTGGAAGGACAGTAGCTATGTGTGAATATCATAGTCCCTGCTGCTCAGAAGGTCATAGACCTTCAATCTTGTGAGCCCTGGTTTCATCATACCATGGGTGGCACTCTGGGAAAACTCTGGAGACTCCAGGAAGGTTGGATTTGATCAGTCAAATGCAAATAGCATAGCTAGTGGTCAAAATAAGAGCAAGAGCAGGTTGTCTGCTGTCTGAAATTCAGCACTGCACTTACTGGCTGTTTTTGTCTCAGGATCTATATCGGAAGACGTCTGACAACCACCGCTTCCAGTAGTACCTTGTAAGAGGTAAAATGAATCGGTCTCTTCTGCTAAACAGTGTCAACATTCATCCAGGCATGCAAAATGGTGGACAAAAGGAACTCCTAGGTGCGAAACAGCAACATGGCTATGTACGTTATGTTCTCTAGATGTTCTCCTTCTAGTTTATTTTTAATGGGGAAGGACAAAAACCGAAGCCCAACAGCACCTGTCTGTTAACCCCTTTTTTGCTCAATTCAGCATTGTGTAAGTTAGATTGGGCCGGGGAACATCTAGCCCTTGGACTGCAGATCCCAATAGCCCTTACTGGCAAGTGCCAAGGGTGAGAGGTGACAAGAGTTCCCTTGAATGCAAAGGCCCACACATTCTCTACCCTGTGTTTAGATGGAGGTCTTTTTCTTTAAAACAAAACAAAACAAATATACACTGTATGGTAAAAAAAAATGTCCATAATGAATGTTAAGTGGCATGGCATTAATTTTGTATGTTTCTGTCAGTTTCGTAAATATACAGGATTGCTCTTGGTACCACTTTATTGCAAAGGGGAGAAGAGTGGACCCAGAGTGTTGTGGCCTTACATTTCTATAAAGTCTGCAGTCTTTTTACTTGACGTGAAGTGACTTAGTAAATTTACTGTAAGATTTAATCCTAAACACCCTCGATACAAGTTTGTGTGTTTTAGTGTGGGATTTTCCCCTTAAGTGTTTTCAGTGAAAGTTTATATGCAGCACAAGTGCTCACAATAATGTCAAATAAGTGTGACTTTTGGTGCAGATGATTTATACTAAAGCTAAAATAAAGATTACCCAGCTTTCCCTTCCTTCAACGTAACATTGAGGGTGGATAGGTACAAGAAATCAGACCCAAATTCTCTTTGAGCCAAGGACTTGCCAAGACAAGCGGACGGGAAACCTGTGGCTTTCTAGCTGCCATCAGGCCACTGCTGCTGCAAATTGCTGAACCCTTCATATGGGAGTTCAGTTTAGAAAAATTGGGAGGACCACAAGTTCTCCACCCTTGCTAGATGACATGCTGAGAAACAGGGAAAGAACCAACCCTTGGTTTCCCCCATGATCGACAAGCACAGATCTCTTGCCTTTGAACATGGCATGTTTCTGTAGGGAGCAGTCTTGGCAACCTAGCAATTGATAGACCCACCTGCCCTGATTTCTTCTTGTCTCTTGGTTCTAGGACAGATCTGAGCAAACCAGTTTTAAGCATCCAAAATTTTTATGCAAGGACAAACCAGTTCTGAAAATCACTTGTGGTATACACATCTTTACCACCGCGACATTTGCAGCTGCAGGTTCTGCAATGGTTTCAAATCCTTTTCAAAATAACTTCTATTACATATATTGTAACAACTCAGAGACTGGCCCAGAACCAGACATTTACTTCTAAGTAACATAATTCTGTGGGATTCACTTGTTAGAATGTTCACACAAGATTACATAGTTAACTGTTGGGTACGTAAGGAATGTAATTTTTGCAACATCTTTCTTACTACTTGTCACTTGAATAAAAGTTTTTTTCATCTGTGTGTTGCTGTGCATTTACACGTATGTTTTTTGTAAACTCTTCTACGGAGAACATATCTTGCTATATTTTGAATATGCAGCACTTGCCTGATAAAGACCTAAGTAACAGGTATGTGACTCTTCAGTTTAACTTCATGAAAGTGCAGAATCCCCCTGTAAACATAATTTTCCTACTAACTGTTATGCAGTTTTAGACATTTTTAATGCTCTGAAGAAGTAACTTCAAGGTACTCAACCACTTTGTGAAACATCTTGCATAAATTCTGTAAGAAATTAGTACAGGTCACAGCATTGAGAATGTAACTGAACACAATTTCAATATTCACTGTTAAGTGACCTGAAGTAACTGGTGTTTAATTACAAATAATGGTGTTTTATCTGGTTTCTATCCTTGTTAGCACTGTGTACCTAGAGTATTACTGTAAAATTTATTTCTTATTGATTTTAGGTTCCAGCAAGTATAATTTTTAATGCTTGAGTGGCTCTGGAATTAATGTAGCTTTTACTACACTGCATTTTGGCAGTTCTTACGTTGTTGTGTCAACAGTTTGCATAAGTTAAATAAGTAATTATTGAATCAGCTAGGAGAGTCCCTTAGACTTCGAGCAATTAGCTTGGCTTTATCTTGCCAGTAACAAAACAGCTACTAAATATGTAAAGACTGCCAGACCTCCATTTGTTCCTTTGTGAGTACAGGTGTTTCAGCTAGCACTCAGGGGCTTTCTTACCTTACTTAAGCCACCCAGGGCATAATAGACTACAGTTCCAATCATCCTTATCCTTTATGGCAAGGGGTTGATGGTAAGTGTAGTCCAAAACCATTTGGGGTTCTAAGGTCAGAAAAGGCTGTTTAAAGGATGCTCTATCACTGAAAAAATAATCAAATGGTTGCAGGAGGTGGTACAGTTAAGAGCTCTTTCCTATCAAGGTGAATCGGTAGAACAGCTCACAACAGAAAAGAAATAACCTATAGAGATAAAAACACTTCAGTATTAAAGAGATGTTCCTTGGATAGATTTGAATCTGATGCTTAAGTCCTGAAAATCAAACCTAAAATAAAGCAATCAGAGAAAGCTGTGCTGTAGTACTCATCTACCAATTTTCTTCTTGCTATTATGAGAGATTCATGTTTCTGTCTAAAGTGAATTCAAACATGCATTGAAGGCTGTTATGTTTCCAGACTTCAGTGAACTTCATTAGAGACCATTTTTTCACCACTTGCAAATTTGAGAAAGATGCTCTGAAGAGGAAGTTCTACGTCTTTTAACTTGTGGTTACTGCCATGTATAAATATTTCTAAAGACATTTTTCTCCTCATTTAACAAAAAATATCCAGTAAGTCTTCTTGAAGTTGCTTGTTCCTCAATTAGTCATTGAACAATCAAATATGTACTACATATGAAAGTCACTTTTTATGTAGTGGAAATTTGTGTTAGAATAGTTTTATTGGTGATCATGTCAAATAAATGGGAAACCACTGGAACTTTTGTCTTTCAGGTAACAAGGTGTATTAGGTTTATTGCTACTATACAAAAATAAAGTGAGTAAATGCATTTTGCAAGTTATCTCCTGCTTGTCTATAGCAGAAAGATTAAGTTTAAGACAGGCCGCTGTGAACCTTAGTTTTGAGAGATAAATTTGAAAATTCTGGTCGCAAGCAAGACAATACCTGCTATGTTGGAAAATATGGGTGCCAGCCTTAGAACATTATGCTGCTATTGCAAACAGAAAAAGCAGTGTCTATAATCCTAAATTGTAGCCCGAATCCTGTTCACATTTCTTTGCATGGTATAAGTTGATATCAGTTTGTGCTGGTAAAATTTATTTCAAATTAGTTGTTTCCTATCCCTGCTGTTTGAGATTCCAAGGATCCCTAGCAAAGCCCTGGCAAAATCTTTGGGAGCCTTGGGACAGGCACGGTAGTGGTGGATTGTGAAGAGTCACTGCTGAATTGCTGCTGTCAGGATCAGGAAAGCATGTGTTGGGTTTTGGCAATTAAAGGGTCCCATCTCCATCCTGAAGCTCCAAAAAGCTTTGCTAGAGCAAAAGGGAGCCCTAGGGAGCATCAGAACATCAAAGGGGGATTGGAAGCATTTGATGTAAAATATTTTTTATCGGCACAAGCTGATGTCGACAGCTTAAGCCACGCAAAGTTATGTGAACAGGATTTGGGCCAATATCTATAATTGGGTGAAATTAACACAGGTGGATACAATCACGTGAAAGCAAATATCTACCATCCTTTTCCTTTTCTAGGAAGTCAGCAGTACCATTAAGGAAGCTTAAGATTTTGTTTGGAATTTAATTTGCTACTTAAGCATGGTGCTACTGAAATGAATAGGTAGTATATTATCATCTTCATAATTGTGTTAGCTGTCTAGATAGCTAACACAAATGCCCTTGGGCAAGCTACACAGTCCCAGAGCAGCACCAAAAGAAGGGTGAGTTAAGCCACTTCTGAATACTTTATACCTAGGAAAACCTGCACAGGGTTGCCATGAGTTGGAATTGACTTGATCACATGCAAGTATGATTGTTTATTAGTATGTAAAAATTACCACCACTTGGTTTTTTTATCATCACATTTAAACATTCCTACATGTTGCAAAGGGATACACTTAAGAACTGAAAGAAATCAGCTATTACATAACTCTGACTGTGGGTATGCATCATTAAAGGTGTTTATTTAAAGTATTTCTAAAATTAATTTCATCCTCAGGCTGTATACAAAAAATCAAGTTAATCATGTCAATATATTAATGAATTTAAATATACGGAATGCATTTGCTTTTCTCCAGGATACCATGGAAAGGGAAGATGCTATAATACAAGTACAACAGAGGCAGTATTTGGAAGCTTGTTTCATCCCATTGGTTCAAGTTAGTATAGTCACAGCTGTACAGTAACCTGGAGCCTAACTACCAAAAAGTAGAATACAATATGAAAGAATCAGAGTCTAAACCAAATACTTTTTAATGTAATTAAAACTGTAGAATTGTCAGTTTCAATATGAACCAAAACAAAATGCTTTTGGCTCTTACACAAAATATATTAAAATGTCTAAATATGCTACTGAACCTTTGATGCCCTGTGTGGACAAGCCTGATCAGTGCCATCCTAGTGCCTATGTTTAGATTAAAATTTTCTTCCATGTGGTACCAAAGTTGAAAGACCAGCATTACTCTGTCACAGTCCCACAGTTCTGTAAATAAGAGTTTATGATCAAGCCACAGATGCTTATTCTAGCACGATCAGTGGGAACTACAAGAATGCCAGACAGGTTTATACAGCTCATGCAAAGTAGGTGCCATTTTTAAAAGCTGAGCAGAAACCTGCTGTCTGGCACAATTGGAAGCCCACACATGCTACTCTTGGGTACAATTTGCGCAGTGTAACCTGGCCTTTGCACTCAGCACTGCTTTATGGAAGGCCTAAAATCGACAGGCCGAATATCTTTTGTCATAAACTACAAAAATAAATGGATCAAAAGAAAAGAGCACAGTACAATCCAAAAGGCTGTAACGGTTGCAGATCATAATTTGCTTTAGATGGTAAATGGTAGCAGTCATGTCATGGCTGAAATCCTGTTGGTAGCTCCATGTATGCATTGTGAAGTTGTAGCAATGTTAGAAGAAATTGCAGCAGGATGAAAGTGCTATTCATAAAGCATTTCTGCATGTGTGCTGCGCAATGGGAATCATGCAGTCTATTGTGCTATCTTTCCAGGGTACAGGATTTCAGCCATTATGGTTTATTTCCCATTCCATCCTCATTAAAATCTTACCCTATCTTCGGGTCTGATTTGCTTTATAAAGTGACTACAGATGTAATAATCTATGAATAACAAGATTACATCTTATGAACAGTCAACATTAAAACACAGTTGAATTAAATTATAGACAGTACAGTGGGGTCTTGACTTAAGAACGGCTTGAGTTAAGAACATTTTGACTTAAGAACCACTCTCATAGGAAAATATTGACTTGACTTAGAACTTTTTGACTTGAGAACCGCCTTCCAATACGGATTAAGTTCTCAAGTCAAGACCCCACTGTAGCTTGGTGACTATTTTCTCTTTCAGTTCTATCGTAACTCAAAAAACAGATTTGATGATGCTATAGCAGCAATGCAGAACTGTGATTTACTGAAGTACTTAAGACATTAAAAGACATGTAAAACCAACTAATTGTACATAAAATTAAATGTTGCAACTTGTATTAAAATTGCTGTCATATGTATTTCATAATACATGAAATAAGAAAGAAGTTGCATGACAAGTTTCTTGTGAGCCATCAGTATTTTCTTTTAATGCACTGTAAAAATGTACACTTTTTTTTTAAAAAAAGTAAGCAGGTACTCAATTTTGCTGGATTTAAATTTGCTAGCTTCTTCCCTGGCTAAATTTATCACACCAAATTCCAGACTTGGTAGCTTGCTTAGGCCAGAAAGAACACAAATTACTTCAATTCCACGTTTTTTCTCCTGAGTGCTTTCATTCATGAAAGAAGAGGGAAGATCATGGAATGATCCTTTACATTCATAGAATCCTCAGAATTCTACATGTGAAGGCATTAGCCTTCATAATGAAGAGTTCTCAGATTTAGTCGCAGCAAATCTTTTAAAGTATTTTTGTCTCTCAGGTATTGTAACTAATGGGTTTGTAAAAAACAAATCATTGTTTGAAATTAGCAGATGAAAAGGAAATGAAGCCCTACAAAGCTTTATGCTACTGTAAGGGAGCAAGAAACATTTCAAGATTAATGATAAGTCATATATTAAGATTATCAAAGACAGCATACATTTTGTAATAAGGAAGCCAGCAGCAACATGAAGATCCAACTCTAGACTTGTGACAAAACTTTGTAGGCTGCATTCCATCTTGTATGCATGAAGAGTTCGTCTAAACATGAAGATTTAAGACATAACACACTGTCAGGCCTAAAATCCAAATGAGGCAAATAAAAATACATGCATCAAATTCCTATGCAGCTGAATTCAAATGAAAACAAAACCTAAACAGACTGGGTGGGACCAACGTTCATCTAGCACCAACTGATGAATTGGCACAACAAGCTGAATAATACATCTAAATGCAGCCCTTTTGACAACTTGAATGGAATCATATGAAAAAAAAAGTACATTTCAGTTTCAGAGTACACCAAGCAAGTTCAGGTAAACATTTAAAATTTATTAAACTTTTTGGTCAAAATAATCGAACAATTATGTACAATCCCATTGTATTAACTCTCGCATAGGTTTTAGGAACAAAGTCAATCTAACGGTTAAATGACCTATCTGTTCCACATTTCAAGATTTGCAAATAGTGTCACAACTGATATACAGTATACTGTTTCTATTTAATCTTTATCTTCAGAGCCCCGAAATTAATATTCATTAGATTGCAAACAAGAGTGGCACTCTATGGACATTAATTGACAGGATAGGAACAGAGACATGTTGCTCTTGCATATTCATATCTAACTTCAGTAATCATATTAAACCTTCATTTAATAAAAACTGGAGTGTGAATCATACATCTGTATTTTATGTAGGGAACTAAAAGGGTCTGAATTTTAAAGAGGATTTTGTAGGCACATTTAGTAGGTGGTTTGGCGGAAATAAAGGAAACGTGCTATCAGAAGTGTGCCCGCTACTACTCGTGTCCAAGTTCACTCCCACAAGTGTTTACAGTGAAACATTTGGAGTTTATAATTTCTCTTCTAGGAAACATCCCCAAGGATCAACTTTTCCTTAGCCTCTGTAGCTAATTGAAATTTAGTATTTTAAAAATGTTTTTTCACATGAGCATTTGACCCCCAAGACAGCCTGATCTTGTGGTATTAAGATACAGAGGAATTAAAATATGTTTTACGTTGTGCTCCTGTTTGGCATAGTCAAGTTTAAAAAAGTACAAGCATGAATTGCTGTGGAAAGTTTTCAATACAGATGTTTATGCCCCGTTGTAGTTTTTTTAAAAAAGATTTTTGAAACTAAAGAACAAAAAGGCAAAAAAGTAATGCACATTTAGGTGTCTCACATGTGAGGCATTTTTACTATTAACCAGAGCAGTGATTTGTTGAAGGGTTAGATGTATGAGACTATTCGTTGTGTTCCTTTAAGGCTCTGTATGATCTGTAACTCAGTATTTTACATTTCTTCTTTTGTGCACACCAGTTGATGTTGTCTTTCTCTTTCTTCATTTTTTTAAAACACAGAAAACGAACAGAAGCTAAGGTAAAGACAATTGGAGAAAAAATTCTGTTTAGAGTTTGAAGCAGTAAATATTACATGAAACTGTACTATCAAAATCAATCTTTTCGGGACAAACTATTTTCAAATCTTTCCACCAGTTATTTTGCACAATCTCAATACATGCAATAAAAAGACTGAATACATACTTTCAGATTTAAAAACACTTTTTATAGTTTGTTAGTTTTATTAAGTGGTTTACACCAGAAGGTGTGGTTATACAGTTGGTGAGTAAATACACATGAAAAACCTGTCTATGCACCCAACTCTAGACTTACCTATATGCTCAAAGGTAGAAACACCTAAAGCTTAGATGAAGGCCAGAGAAAGAATGTTTACAGGCATAAAGCACAAATATATGTTTTGAAAGGCCCAAATATTACAGCAGATAAAGAGTACGTGAGATAGAAATTACATTTTTTATGACAATTTGTTTCTTGGGTGTTAGATTTTTGGTCTATCAACTGGAAAGGAAGGCTCAGACTTAAATAAATACATTTTTTGAATATTGGCCTTTATTGAGTATTGTCCATCAATTCTGCTACCAGTGGGCTTTTTTGTTTACAAAAATTCAATTCCATGTTCCCCTCACTGAAGACAGAAATACACCATGAACTCAAGTCCAGGCCAGCTTCTCTCCTTTACCTATAAAGGGAAATAAGTGCATCAATGTTCTTTACTGGGAGGACAACAAGGCCATCTCTGACAGATAAACAATTGAGCTGAACTATGCAAGACGACAACTTTGTCCTCAAATACGCCGTCTTTAATTAATTTTGTCCTGAAATATATACAAGTTATTGGTGGCAGCTACAGCAATGATATTTTCTGCAGGGTGCCATGCTGTATGAAGGATCTTCTTATTGAAGTCCAGACTGTCAACACTTATTTCATCTTTCTTTCTCTTGCCACCTGTACACACTTTCCGAGGCTTTAAGATAGCACGAGGTTTGCTACTTTCTCTTGATGCCTCTAAGGTAATATCTCGCCGTGTGTTTCGATCAAACATCCTAAAGAAGTTGTTGTATGAACCAGTCATAATGGCACTGCATTAAAAAAGAGAAAAACATGTTATCTATTAGGTCTATTTCATGTTACTCTACATCTAGAGTTCTCCAAGTTCCATCCCAACTTTATTTAGTTTTGTTATTACCACCTTATAGGCAGGTATTTATTCAGTTTGATCTAATTTATACTACTTCAGATACATGCCTCTGAAGGATCACTTCTTCCCAGAGCTTCTCTGAGGTTCTTTTCTGTCACATTACTAAAAGAGGTTTTGCCCTTGGCTATACAATAGGCCCCTGGACGTGGTGGCACTGCGGGCTAAACCGCAGAAGCCTGTGCTGCAGGGTCAGAAGACCAAGCAGTCGTAAGATCGAATCCACGTGACGGAGTGAGCTCCCGTCGCTTCTCCCAGCTCCCGCCAACCTAGCGGTTCGAAAGCATGCAAATGCAAGTAGATAAACAGGGACCACTTCGGTGGGAAGGTAACAGCGTTCCGTGTCTAAGTCGCACTGGCCATGTGACCACGGAAGATTGTCTTCGGACAAACGCTGGCTCTATGGCTTGGAAACGGGGATGAGCACCGCCCCCTAGAGTCGAACACGACTGGACAAAAATTGTCAAGGGGAACCTTTACCTTTATACAATAGGCAATTTATCCAAAGTGTGAAATGCCTTCCCAGAAAGGGTTGCCAGTGGCCTGGCACTTTTTAAAAGGCCTTGACTGGTGTTGAAAAGTTCCTACATTCCCACCACAGAAAACTGATTGATTTATCATGTTTTTACCCCACCTTTCTCCTTAAAAAGAACCCAAGGCAGTGTACATCATTAAAAGACAATATTTAAATCTAAAAACAAAATGTATATAAATACTAAAAAAGGATCAAACAAATATCACTCTTTAGAAACAGTAAAGAAAACAATACCAAAAACACATTCAAAACCATAAAGCACAACAATCCATTTCAAAATACCCCATTCAGACAGTCTGTCAACTGAGGGAAAGATTGTCTGAAGAGAATGGTCTTCATTTGCTTGCAGAAAGACAGTAAAGTTGGGGCCAGCCTAGCCTCCTGTGGGAGGGAGTTCTAGCAACGAAGAGGACCTTTCCCATGTATCCACCAAACATACCTGTGAAAGTGGTGGGACTAGAGAAATGTCTCTCCTGATGATCCTAACACCCAAGCAGGCTCAAAATGGGAGACACAGTCCTTGAGATACCTTAGATTTAGCATTATTTCAAAACTTTAGTGCCTACTTTGCTCCTTGTTTCAGGTATTGTAGCACAGCTGTGTTTTCTAACCCTTGCTCTTACTTTTTAAAGTCATTTGTTATTGAATCATTTAAGTTGTATTTTATGTAGTTGCGATTTTCAATCTGATTATTCTGGAGAGGCATATTTGTTTCCATACTCATTCCCTTCTAATTTCACCCAGCACTTCACGTACCTTATGAGGGGGCTTACAGTAAAATATTAAACATAATATTTTAAAAACTAATGCACATTGAACTACTACATTTGAGAGCTAAAACAGAGCTACATTGTTTATGCTTTAAAAACAAAATAAGTCACAGCTAGCAGATCTGAATAATTCCATTAGTACTGCCTAAGTATATCAAATGTAGGCCATATACCTTGAATTAAAGGTCTCGTTTATCTCTCAGCATAAATAAAGCATTACAACCATTTTCAGGATTCAAGCAAACATCTGAAGTGAGTCTGACACAATTCATCCTTACCTATCAGAGCCATTCCAGCAGCATTCAAACTTGTCAAAGATGCAGTCATTCTCATAGAGTGAGCAAAGTTTGCTTCGAAGGTATTCATGCACCTTAAAAATATGTAAGTGTTGGTCAGCATAAGAACAGTTTCCATTTGTAACAATGTCTGCTTTATTATAAAGGCATAAACACCGTACCTGATAGGTTTCTACAGGCCTGTTTTCCATATTGAGATCCCAAACTTTAACTGAAAGGTAATCTCTGGTCATCATGTATCGACCACTGTGACTGAATTTTACATCTGATATAGAGGAAATTATTTCTGAAAAGAATGATCTGCTGCTTGGATCTTCAGGCTCTTCAAAGACTGAAAATTATAAAGAAAATCTGTTAAGAACTATGGGGCCTAGAGCAACTTTTTCAAAGAACTGAGGCAATTTCCAAACTGTATGTCATCAGAATTGCTGAAGTGTATTTGAAAGAATGGCTATGTCTATTCTGTGATGCTACATTTCTGGGTAAATCAGAATCTGAAGTATAACTACTGCATAAAAAGCAGAGTCCCATCCCTGACACATCTAACAAAGGAAAGGTACAAATGCCATCCAAATTATCTTGCAATTGAAGGAATTGTTCTGAGAAGTCAAGAAAATACATCTGACTGATATATGCCTCTTCCAAATGCATAAATGGACATCATGTGTCAGTACCATCACCATCCCACCTCAAAAATCTTCTTTCCAGAACTTGCATTCATAGTGCCATAGGGCACATCCCAGTCCAGAGGATTCCCCTGTGCAGCTTTTTTAAAGATCTCAGAAGCTGCTATGATAGGGGGTCCTGGGATCATAAAGCACTGGATCATAGGCAACATTCTTGCCCCTTTGATCTTCAGAGGAAAAATACATCCTAGGCATCAAAAATGTGAGAATAACTTGAAGTATATAAATAACTTGGTCTTTTCTTCTTTTAAGTCAGTACTCACCAAATGGTTCCCTGATTTTGTCTGTAAAGCAATTACCTAGTGGCTCTAGACTTTTTATATAAAGCACCACTGACTGTATTAGGCTGTCACTACACTGGCAAATAGCATGGAATTTGCTGCAGAAATAGAATGGATGAATTAAAACTTTTTAAAACTTATCACAAGATGAAAATTGGCCCAGCCTTTCCCCCCTGTCACTGGGGGCTTTTGCTTTTTTAGAGCCAGACCTATTCGAATGGTGTTTTCCCCATGTAATCAGTTGTCCCCTTCTCCAAAAGAGTGGGGGGCATGACTGTGGGTGGTATTCTGGTAGTGTATTAAGCTAGATGTTTTGGACGGTGGGAACATCCACCCCCATGAACTTTCTCCCAAGTTGCCCTGAAGTATTTTTTAAAATATACAAAGTATAGCACTAGACAATCTTATCACAGCATTGATACATTAGTTTAGCACTATATCACCTCTGCACACACACACAAAAAATCAATATGAAATAAAAACATTTCCAGTGAAGTGCACCAGACTACTATGTTTCTGTGGTATGTTGTTTCTACTTCATGGAGAACTCTGAAAAACTGTCCCTTTTCCCTAATCCTGTGCCATACTCTAAACAGTTACCTCATTCACAATGAACCATAAAAGGAGAGTCAGGGATCAGCAGAGGGCAAGAGAAGTTGTGGGTGCAGATTGAACTGCACTGGATTAAGGGGGCCAGTGTGGACACTGGCACTGAAAACAATTTGTGGCCTCCACATGATCACCTGATTTGAATAGAGCAACAAAACAGGCTGTGAGTCAAGCAGCACAGCCAGATTGCTCCGATTTGGTTTGCCAGTGTAGTTGCAGCCTTAGTTTATTTACATACACTGACTACCCTGTTTCCTCTAAAATAAGACCTAACCTGAAAATAAGCCATAGTATGATTTTTCAAGATGGTTGTAATTTAAGTCCCACTCCAAAAATAAGCCATAGTATGATTTTTCAAGATGCTTGTAGTTTAAGTCCCACTCCAAAAATAAGCCATAGTTAAGTGAAATCCCGCCCACCATCATTGTGCAGCAACCAGAAGATGTCATGGCTACATTTGAATAAATGTAGATAGCTGTACATGACAAAAATAGAACATCCTCTGAAAATAAGCCCTAATGCGTTTTTGGAGCAAAAATTAATATAAGACCCTGTCTTATTTTTGGGGAAACAGGGTAGATATTACAGACATTTATAAATGTACTAGATCATACAGAAGAACTGCGGCATACTACATGCTTTTGGACACTACAAATGAAAAGGAATTGATTTACATATATCTAAGGGCTACTCCTCTTGATTATATCTTTTATTCAATATATTTCTCACAAACCAAATTAATTTTTTTAATAAAATGTGAAATTACAAGATGAGTCTCTAACACAATTTTATATTAAAAATGTCAATGCTGGAATTGGGTAATTATCTGTGGCAGTCCACAGTGAATTGCATGCTGAGAACATGATTCTGAACTGTAGGTTTTTATCTGCATTTTATTTATGAATGCAGACACTATGGGGATTCCTCATAATGATCTAATTAAAAGAAAATGGCATAAAATGCTGTGAGACATTAATTTACAATGCAGTCCTCAACGGCCAGTATGGAAGAAGGAAGAAGCATGGTGAAGGAACTTCTAGTTCCTAAATTGTGAGGAAGAAGGTTGGGTAAATGTTGATGGTTACCTTTTAAGAAGATTTTATTGCCACTTTGACAGCACCAACTCCAAAGCTGAAGCACTTTCCTTTCTCTTTCTGGTGGCACATTTGAAAAAAAAGTGATTTGTGGATCTAACACTAATCTGATCTGACTGGACCCCGTCCCAGCACCACCTCCCCTCCTCTAATGCTGTAAAATGACCCACAATGGAGTACCCATGGCACTGGAGTATTCCACCCACATATTACAGGAAGAGTGCCATAATAGACCTCCTTCTAACAAACTGAGATGCAGTAACCTAAGGCCTCAGCTGATGTAGAGAGCAAACAACAGAACTTTTCTTGTGGGAAAGGTAGGCGTAGAATAGGTTCTCTATGGGACAAAAGCCTGACCAAACTATACCAAAACATTAGTTTGTAGACTAAAATGTGATTTTCTATTCTAAGCAGAATATTTTTTCTAACAACATCTGAATCAAGGTGATTCCTATTTCCATTTAAAAGACAAATAATGAACTTCCTATTATTTTTGCAAGCAATGAGTTGATTTTTCACTTGTGTAAACGGCAATTAGCTCTGTAGATTGTAGTCACAAAAAAATAGGCTGCTGGCGAACAGAAAAGGAAGTTATCACTTTTCTGAGGTTTTGTTTTGTTTTTGCAATATTTAATCCGTATATTTCAACTCATATCACTAATATTCAACATGATGGCTGAAATCCTGTTGCACAACTTTACACCACATAAGGCTGCTAATATCAGTGGTGGCCATTTTTGTTGTTGAGAAGTTATAATTTCTGATCCCTCCACAAACTTCCAAAGCTCCTTCTGTATCCTCTTCATCCTGGGGAAGCCTTAGGAGACACAGGGACGGTGGGGTCTTTAATTTCTGAAACTCACTGTCATCAGGATGACTGTTACCACAGCAATAATTTTCAGAAATGAAAGACCTCCCCTCCAATCCAGTGACCCTCAACTGCTTCTCTTGGATGAAAGGGATCCTAAGGGAGCCTTGTAACCTTCAGGGGTGGGGATAGAAAACTTTTAAATCTTGACAAATGCCCATGGCTAATAGTATCATCATCAGTACATAGCATAAAGTTGTGCAGCAGGATTTCAGCCAGTGTTTTGGAAGCCATTAAAGCAAGCTACCGTATTTTACCGTGCATAAGATGACACTTTTCCCTAAAATAATTAGGGGAAAAATTTGAGGGTCGTCTTACAAACGGAAGGAAGCAGTCACGCACGCACTCAGACGCCTCTTGCTGCTGCCGCTGTCGCCCAATTGCCTCTTTCAGAGATCACGGCTTGTCTCCTCCCTGGCCAAGGCAGCAGCAGCAGCAGGAGGCAGAGACGGAGGTGAAGGAGCATTCACACATGCTCCGGCACCTCTTCATGCCTGTTTCCCCCCGCCTGCCCGATCACCCCCTCCAACGAGACAGAGGGGCTCAGCTCAGTCTCTGCCTTGTCTCCTCCGTCCCCTCCAGGGGCGGAGACAGCAGGAGGCATAGGCGAAGGAGCATTCACACGTGCTCCGGCGCCTCCGGGCCTCCGGCTGCTGCCTCCCCACCGATCACCGCTGCCTTGTTCCCTCCCATGGTGGAGGCAGCAGGAGGCGTGCACTGGGGCACCTCTTCCTGCCTCATTAGCAAAGGAAAGGCAGAAACGGTTCCCCTTTTTTGCTAAACCCAGCGTGCCCTCGCCTTTTGAGAAGACACCTCCTTCTCAAAAGACGAGGAAAAGTGGCAGTCACTTTAACAGCCGCTTTCCTTGCCTTTTGCCAAGGCACGGGGTTTAGCAAAAGGGGAGTACTTTGATCCCTGCTTTTTAAAATTTGTGGTTAGAAAAAGGGGGGTTCATCTTATACTTTGGGTCATCTTGTAAACAGAAAAATACGTTATCTAAACCCAAACCATGGTATAGAGAAAGGCTGTAATTTCTTATAAAAAAAAGAAAAAACTCTGTTCACCCATATTTACAGCTGAGCGATTAAATACTGGCCTTTCAAATTTTGGAAATCACTTTAAATCCAGCACATTATAAAACAAATTCCATTAGCTAGAGAGGTTGGAAATAGAGATGGGGATATATTCGTAAATGAATACAGTGGTGCCTCACATAGCAATGTTAATTGGTTCCAAAAAAAACATCGCTATGTGAAACCATCACTATGCGAAACACCATTTCCCATAGGAATGCATTGGAAACCGGTTAATCCGTTCCAATTGGAACGGATTGC